CCTTATTCTGTGTTCCAACCACCTTCCTGTGGCTTTTCCAGGAACTTGCTGACCCAAGGGCCCCAAACGGTGGGCTAGAGGCCCTGTGTCTGCCTGTAGCCTTCACCAGCTAAGGAGGACTCAGAGCCTCCAGCAGCTTCCCAGCTGGTGTCTGACCTCAGGGAGAAGAGTCTGTCCCTGCCCCAGGGGTCCCTGGGAATTGCTGAGTCAGTGCTGCAAAACTGGGCCCAGTTCCCTAGGATACACTATCCTAGCTTCACCTCTGGAGAGCCCCTTCAAAACTTAACTCCAGTAGAGGATTTCACACAGTACTAGTGGCTGGGGTGATAGTTACGACCTGATTCCCGAGTCTTGTTCACCTACACTGGGAAACCTGTGTCATCTCAAGAGTTCCAGGAAACATTCTCTACCTTCTGCTTACAGATCACCTGCTTGCAGCTGACCCTACAGATGCCCACAACCTGCACTCTCTTACCTCCATCGTGGACAGCATCACAGTGGAGGATATGTCTGTTGCCTTCCCAGACGAAACCATGCCCAACTGAGATTGTCTGCCAGGCTGGGTGTCCATGTGAGCCCCCGAGTTGGTGTCAAAGGCCACCCCTTCTGCAGCAGGGGCCTTTTAAGTGGGGCTGTTCTAATGCTGAGCAAACAGCCCTGGGCTGCCACAAGCCAGACTACCCACTCCTCATTCATATAAGGCTAACACCCAGCCCAGCAAGGAAACGGATGCCCTCATTTCTCTGACTCCTTAAAGCAGAGAGCATCCTCTTCCAAGGAGAGAAAGATGGGGTCCAGAGAGCCCCCTTGTTGATGTTCCCCAATGGGGCAATCTCAGGAGCTTCCTTTTTTGTTTATCATAATATGCCTCTGATTCCAACTCCCCACACACACTCCAAATGAGAGTTTGAGAGACGGAGACCGTGCCCTGACCTAAACAAGTGTGCACATCTGTTCTAGTCTCCTCCTGCTGCCAGTGGCTGGGCTGGGCCTGCCCTGAGTTGAGAGAGAATGGAGAGGATATAGACTGCTCCAAAGTCACTGGGGTGGGGTGGGGCAAGCATTTGCAGTGGACATTGGGAGCCTTCCAGGGGGTTGTGTATTGTTTATTGTTCTGTGTGTTGTTTGTAAAGCTGCCATCTGACCAAGGTCTCCTGTGCTGATGTTGCCAGGGACAGGCAGGGAAGGGGGGGCCCCTTGGGGTGACTTCTTTTGTTAACTAAGCATTGTGTGGTTTTGCCTCTTTTTTTTTTGTAATTTTTTTGCTAACTTATTTGGATTTCCTTTTTTAAAAAACAAATAAAGACTGGTTGCTATCAGAATGTCTGCCATGATGTATCAGGAGGGGAGACACTGAAAACACCCCACCTTCCCCGTGGAGGTCCACATGCTAGGGGGGGGAGGGGTATTCATGTGAGTAGATCATGTGAGTCGAGCTGCAGTCCCGAACCAGTCATTAGATGCAGAAGCAAGACCAGATTCTTTAGACGTCCTGGACACTCAAAGGCAGGCCTGCAACGCACTCTGTTTTACTTTACACAGTCTGCTGCTTTCCAGTTTACAGCCCAACAGGTCCACTGAGCATGCTTACATGCCTCCTGCTCAGCCCACACCTAGGGCTAGGGGTGTAGAGCTAGATTTGCCAGACTTCTCTTCCTCAGCCCCCAAATGATGAGAACCCTGGTTTCTCCTCTGATTGTTCTTTGTCTCCCAGCTCCCTGAGCAGAATCTCATCTTTGAGCTGTAGGTGGGGACAGGAATATCCCTGTGCCCGGAGGGAAGGGCAGAAGGTGGAAGGGGACCTGCTGTTTGTCCTATGACCACACAGAGCAAATGGGGGCGGTCAGACACTGTCCTTTCTTCCAAAGGGAGGAAGGTGGGTGGGAAACCGAGATCATGGCTAGAGATTGTGTGTGGTTTCACAGGTTAAAAGGAACAAGAATCAAAATGGACCAAGAACACCAACTCCAACTTTACTAATTCTAGTTGTGTCTGTGCCAGGCTGCTTGTCTGGTTTACTACAGATTATCTCCAAACCACTGCAGACAGAGATTCTGAAGATTCTGAAGAGGGTCCAGTCTGGGCCCTCTTCAGCTCTCTCAGGCCCTTTGACAACTGACTTGAACCAGTTTAAGAGAGCAGGCACTGATGGCCATTCAGCACCTGCTGGGCCCCTCCCCAAGTGCTCTTCCCAACCTTACCTGGAAAGCTATACCTAAAGAAAACAGTATGAGAAACACTGGGCAGGGCCTTGGGAAACTTGAGAGGGTGAGAAGGTCCCACCAAGGTCTGTTTGTCTCAAATAGGCAATCATCCATCCTGGTTTGTGGGAGTTTCTTCTTTTTGAGTTTGTGCCATTGAATTTACAGTCTCCCAGGTAGTCTGGATAAGGATAGCTAAGCCTAGCCTTGACCCACTTGCCTTTGAGGTGAAGTACATGCCTGCGTTACCACTCCTTGCCCCTAGGCTAGTGTGCTCCCTTAGGACCACCAAAATACTCAACTACACAACCAAAAAGGGCTCCTCAGATGTGTGTCCTCTGTTCCAGTGCCTCCCAGAGTTCTTGAGTTGCTACTACCCCACTGCCTTCCGTTATGACGTGTCTATCCCTTGCCCTCCTTGGCCCCTCCAAGGGTCGAGTGCTGGCCAAGGGCACGCAGGGCATACCATGGAGCTCGGGGCTCTGCAGCTATAGTGTTAAAGTGGATATAGTGTTAAAGCCCATTCTTTTCAGTTCTGTCAGCTGAAAACAGATGCATATTCACACTTAAAAGAACAGGCAATGGTCACTAGAATCAACTGACCCTTGCACTGGCAGGTATAACCAAAGCCTGAAAGTCCTCAAGGCGCAATACGCCAGCACAGCACAGATGTGAATGACTAACCCTGCTGTGCAGGAGCCCAGGATATTTTCACAATATAAATGTTATTAAGCATAAAACTTCCTTTAATTAACAGATTCTCAACCTTCACAATAGAATTACAGATAACACCCCTGTTGATGAATAATGAGGTGGAGTTCTTTAGGGAAATTAACTTAAATTCCTTCATCCGTAGAAGTAACTACAATAAATCAAACTAGGTTAATCAAATATCGCCTAATAATGGACATTAAGGACTCTGCAAGAATAAAAAAACAAGAATTTCTTGAAACTGGCAAGCTGAATGTTCGTGGGGACATAGGAACATCCTGGTGGTTAGCTGATTACTATGACAGGACACTTACCGTCCTGTCTGAGCCTCCTACTAAACATTGCAAGGTGTCTAACTTCCCAGAAGACTCAAGATGGCAGACCAGAAAACCTTTCCACTAGTGACTGCCGATATAATAAGTGATTGTCCCAACTGGTGTGGGAGAACAATGGTAGGAAAGAGTTGTCCTCCCAAATCAGTGTCTGTTCCACAGATGAAATGCCACACTACCATCCCTAACATGTCATGTCCCATGGGCTTTAGTTTCCTGGCTTCTAGGCTCAAGCTGGGGTACGGATGCCTAAGGGGAGCTAGCAATTGCTAAAGAAGCCCAATTCAGGCATTGGCAAGAACATGTGTCACCACCCTTAGGTGGCCCTGGCTTGTGCCTCCTCCCTGCGCTCTCTCTCAGCTATGGGTGACCACCCTGGCTGAGACTCCTTGTGTCTCAATGTTTAGAACATTTCCAGAGAGAGCAAAGAAAAACATTCTACAGACCCTTCCTTGGTTTCTTGTTTTCTCCAAACACTAAAGAAACATGATGCTAGGTCTTATGTGGAGCTCAACATGCCTAAACTACCATTTCCCATTTCCTATATCTTCCTATATGGCAACACTAGGAAGTCATGGCTTTCTTGACCAGCTTCTAGAGCACATCAGTTCCATTTCAACCAAGATGCAGTGGGGTCATTGACAGGCTGGAGATACTGGATCAACACTTCTTACCAAATTCCTTATCTTGCCTAACTTTGTATCTGGCTCTCTTCCTGTCACCAGTGCCCATTTACTCTGCATTCTTGCTTCGTCAGTGTTTGGGGCACCAGTGGTATGGAAGGGACACAAGAATGCAGGGTGGGTTGTGTCTCATGGTTCATCACTCAGATGACTAGAGTCACTCAGGATGATTCACAGGTGCCAAGGGCTCCTGAGTGGTGACAAACAAGGGTGTGAGGAAAAGGGAATCAGAATAGCTGAAGAAATCAGGCTGCTCTTCCTTTAAAAAAAAACAGTTCAGAACTCCTGCACTAGGTCAGGAATTTACCACACAGGTTACAGTTGGGGATAAGGCACTGGACTCAGACTAGATGTAAAACCTGTATCATTCACCAGGTGTGTGACCTCAACCTGCCAATTTCCTGTTCCTTAAAATGGCAATTATCCCACATTGCTGGGTTGTGCGGAGTAGATAAATTGATCTGTTCACTACAAACTATAATTTGCATGTTTGGGTTTCTCTAAAATTCATATTCAGCTCATGTTCAGGGCTGAAGAAATGACTCAGTGGTTAAGAGAACTTGCTGCTCTATCACAAAGACCCAAGCCTGGATCCTAGCACCCATATCACGATCATCCAGCTCACGGATGCTATCTCTCCAGCTTTAAGGGACTCATGTGTCTTCTGGCCTCTACCAGAATCCACACGTGTGCACATTCACACTCAGATAAGAAAAAAATATTATTTAATCTTTAAAAATACCTTATCCCTAATGCAATAATATTAACAGATAAGTCTTCTTGGGACATGAGGACTCATGAGAGGGGTTAATGCCTTGATAAGAGGGCTGACAGCCTGTTTGGCCCTTGTTACTCTTCAACCCTTTCTAGCATGTGAGGACACCTTGAGAGTACCTTTTCTGAGGATTGGGCTCTTGTTGGAGATTAAATCTACTGGTGCCTTGACCTTGGACTCCTTAAACTCTAATATTGTGAGAGCTGTGCTTCTGTTGATTAAAAATGACCCATGTAAGGTTATTTCATTACAGCAGCAGGAACAGTCAAGCATTTGGCACACAACAGTACTTGGTGGTTTGTCAGCTTTTATTAATATTAATCCTTTCAACAATTCTCCAAGATGAGGTCAGTCAATTCACTCATTCAGGGTAGCGATCAACGAGACTGACATCGGGAGCACTGTCACAGCCCAGCGCAGTAGACACTCAAAGAGACAATATGTGCACCTGTATATACATGCACAGAATGTTCATGGAGTTGAAGGATGTTGGTTACCTAATTCTACTGCAGTGCCAACCACTGCCTCCCAGGAGAGACTTGGAAAGGAGTTGAAGGGTCAAAGCTAGAAGGCAAGAAAAAGAGCCACTGAGCAGTCTTCTAGAGGGGGCACTGGTGGACCTAATATTTCTGAGTTAGACAGACTCAAACTGGTGGAAAGAAGAGAGAGCCAGGGATCCACATCCTAACTAGCTTTCTAAAGCCACGCAGCAGAGGCTCTGAACCTTGGACTGAAGCGGTGGAAGCTGTGGTGGTTAAAATAAGAATGGCCCCTGAGGCTCCCATATTTGAATGCTTGGTCCCCAGCTGGTAGAACTGTTTGGGAAGGATTAAAAGATGAGACCTTTTTGAAGGAGGAGTGTCCCTGGTGTTGGGCTTTGAAACGCCATCCTAGTTAGCTCTCTTTTTATCCCTTGGTTGTCATTTCAACATATAAGCTCTCAGCTACTTCTCCAGTGTCATGCCTACCTGACTGCTTGCCTGTCCACCCTGCTGCTGTACTCCCCGCCACAATGGGCATGGCCTCTAACCCTCTAGAACTATAAGCAAGCAACCAAGTAAATGATTTTTAAAATAAGTCGTTTTGGTTATGGTGGCTTATCACAGCCATTGAAAAGTAACTAAAGTGGCTACTGAAATGCAGAGATGACAGAGGAAGTTGGGCAGCAGCAGCTACTACAGGCTTGGAGTGAAAGGGGCCAAGTAGTGTAAGCCAGCACAGAAAAAAGAGAAAACCAGCCATGCCTGACGGCAGGCTTCTTACCCCTTCACCTTGTTCTATAAATCCTTGGTACAAGCCACCCAAACACTAACTTTCCCATCAATCCTGTGAGTGAATAATAAACAGAAGAGTATTGCCTGTAATGTCAAAACTGACACTTCTTTTCCAGAGTACAGCAGCCCCAAGGTCTGTGAAGTTAGCTGGACACACCCAATGAACTTAGCATTCAAAAAAGAAACGAAGGCCATTTATACATTGTCTTAAAACCAGGCTGTTTATTGGACCTACACACCCACTCACTCAGACTCACACACACCCCCAGACAAACTCACACACCCATTCCTGAAGCACTGAGCTGATACAGTACTGAGAAGGGACCTGGTGAGACACAGGAGGCTGGCAAGGAGAGCCTGGGTCACTGGTGGCTCTCCAGAAAAATAAAATAAAATAAATATATATATATATGTATATTGACAATGAGGCAAGGGGTACACCGCAACAGCAGCCTTTCATCACTGCATGCAGACTCCCCTAGTTTGTCCTCCCTGCTGGCCCTGAATGGACCTGGATCCCAGCTGCTACCTATGACATCGCAAACCATGACAGTGTTACAAGGTAGAGGAGGGGCAGGGATGACTCTCCCACATAACTAGCCCACAGAGTCCCTAGAAGGAGGCAGATGCTACTGTCATGCTCAACTCTTTCCACCTCAGGTCGCTGGTACTTCTCTGTAAGTCCAGCTTTCAGGATGGGGGGTGGGGTTTCTAACCAATTCATGTTCTACTTCATTGTTTCTCATCTCCATTTCCAGCAGTCTCGCTGGTAGGGAAGCAGAAACAATGGGATCAGGGATAGGTGGTTGCCTGACCCAGCCTAGGTGAGCCCATTCCATCACCCTATTAGCCAAGCTGTCTTCCACTGAGCTGCAGCACAAGGCTCTAAGTCCTTTTCAGACAGGGAGTTCTGGCTCATTTCTCCACCTGTTAGCCTAGACCCTGCTCAGAACCCCAGTGGATGAGATGGCAAACCAGCTACCCCAGTCACCTGTAGGATGGCACCCTGCTGCCTGTCTCCCACAAACACAATCCAGGCACTTTCCCTTTCCTCTTCCAGTAAGTATCGGGTTCTATGAACCCACCCTGACATTAAGTCCTGAGCTTTCCAAAGGTTAAGGAATTGGTCTGGAAGAGGAATGATTGATACTCCTCATAAATCTGTCCTGTCCCACCATGCTGCCTAAAAAGGCAAATAAAATAGTGAGGGGAGAGAGAGGATCAAGAATGTCTTGAGGAATTAGCTCCTTATGCCCCAAAGAACCCTAAAGGAGGAATGGTTGGTATGAGGGCACACAAAGGAGACTGCCTCAGTCCACTTTAGATTCCCTGGACCTGGGACATGATTCACTAAAAGGGAAGGCTCTCCCCCACTCCCTTTCCATTCAGGGCAGAGTCAACAGCTCACTCAGTTCAGTAGCAGCGTCATTTGTGGCTGGTGCTAGAGACATCCCCGCTGCCCTTTGGGCTTAGGTACAAAGGCCATCAAGCTCTCTCTCTAGTTTACCTGACTATACTTCCTACAGGGCAAGGAGCTAAGGAGTTTCCCTTCCCTCACCCTTGGCCCAAAGCTCTGGGGTCTGTTTCTCTCACATAGTTGGGATTCTGCATCAGCTTGGGCCCAGTTTCTACCTTAGTCTTCCTCAGTTCCCCTCCAGGCTTTGTCCTAGAGGGGCTGGGGTATTCTACACCCCTCATGACCCGGCAAGCAAGACTTGGAGGCATAGCTACCGACACTGGTGATGGAGTTTGGGAAAAGGGAGTGATACTGAGAGAGGGGGTGCCAAAACCACTCAGGCCATCCGGCACAGCCAGAGTGGAGGGGACCATAAGGCCAGTAAGTCCGCAATGGCCTTTATTGGAAGGACCATCTCAGTCCTTAGTCCAGGATCCTGAGCCTGATCAGCCCGTAGTCCAGACCAAACCAGATCCAGAAGAGGGAAGGTGGATGCACTCAGCAGTGCCCTTCTGTCTCTCCCACAGAATCTCAAACACAACAACCTGGGTGCCGCCACACACAGGAGACCCTGGTCACATCCACCAGAGACTTACAAAAGGGGCAGGAAGTAGGACTCGGATGGTGGGATGCCGACGGAGCAGACAAGCATATTCTGAGATCCCGGGCAACTGGGAAGTCACAGAGGAGAGACTGGGAGCCAAGGGAGAAAGGGAACGAGCAGGAAGGGTCAGGGCGGCTGCGCCTGCGAAACCACGAGCCCGCCCTGGGGGCCGTGGCTAGTCCCGGAAGGCGGAGAGCATGTGTCCGTAGAGATAGTGGGAGTGAGCTATGAGAGAAGAGAGAGACAGGCTCTGTGAGTGGAGGTGGTCCCCGAGGCGGGCAGTAGGTAGGTGCGACATGCGGCCAAGCACAAAGCGAAGCGGGAAGGGCGATGCTGCAGCGAGGGTGCGGCGGCAGGGCGGGCCGGGCAGCGGCAGGGCGGGTGAGCGCAGCCACAGCCTGGCCCACTTACCCCGAGCCGGGGGCGCACCCCCGTCAGACCCGGGGCGGGAGGGTGGGGGGTCAGCAGGAGTAGGTCCGGACCGTAGAGGGCTCCAGTCTCTGCGCCCCCGCCGTCCCGGCTGGCAGGAGTCGGCCGCGGCAGGAGAACACACAGAGCGTGGGTTAGTGCCGCCCCTCCGCAGCGCTAGCGCAGCTCAGCCTCGGCCTCGGCCCTCTCCAGCCCGCTCGGCCCCACGGTGTTGGGAGGAGCCCACGGCCAGCCTGGCACTCACCTTCCGGCATGATCTTCTTGGGCGGGGCAGGAGGGGGCTGCAGCGGGCCCAGCGTGGACACACGGAAGCCCGCCGGGAGGGTCTCCGCTGAGGTGCCCAGCATGCCACCGCTGTGGTGATCTCGTGGCCGGAAGCGCTTCCTCCAGGAGGGTGCTCGACGGAACACCTTCTCTTCCCCCTGCACCAAGAGGCATACTGGAGTTGCCACTGCAGTCCCTAAAGCTCTAAAGGGTACTACTTCTGAACTCCCCCTCTCCGGCCCTTAGTGTTTCCCCTATAGAATGAAAGGGGGGGGCCTGAAGGATGACCACAAGGGGCCTTTCACACAGATCAAGCGAGAGGTCCCTCCTATCAAGTCTGGTCCAGAAGAGAACTCCTTTGCTCTACCCACCCCAACTAAGCTCAAGAGCTCACTGCTCTCCTAAGGTATTTTTCTTTCCAGGCTCCTCTGGAAAGACACTGGTCAGCCCCGGCATCGCTTGCCTGGCTTCTGGATCTGGGGCCTCAGTAAAGGATCAAGACTTCTAGGTTGCCACTCTTGGTTTAGCCACATGACTAGCAACAGGACTGCTCCAGGCTTTAGTTTTCTTATCTGCAAAAATGGGAATTCCAACATCTGACTAACCTATTTATTTCTCCTGCTACCTACCCCAGCGGGACCTGAACGCACAGACAATGATGGGTCAGACAGATGACTGGAGACATGCTCCTCCAGAGGCTACAGGAAGCAGCTCCCACCATCTGTTGCCCATCAATGTCAACCAAGTCTCCAAAATCACTTCCTCCACCAGTGGGCTCCCAGAGCCACAATCCCACAATGCCTCACTGCACAGGCCATCCACTCTACCCTTCAGAGTCACAGCCTTGTGGCCAAGTCTCATCTTCCACCCTTGTGTTTTCAGAACTGCACAGGCCCCACGGTGAGGGGCAGAGTGAGTGGGAACAGGAGTGCTAACCCCTGGTTTTGCCTCAGTGACTCCTCTCATCTCTTGGGATTCATATTCTGTGGCCTTGGGATGACAAATGCTCTTACCACTTTTTAACATGTCACAGACCTGTCCCAGAGCATTTTAGCCCGCATTTTCAAGAGTATTTCATTACTATTTCTTTCCCCACACTCCTTTCCCTTGTTCCCCTCAGTCCCTTCCTGCCTCTACTCCTTCTGTTTCCTTCTCCTTTTTCTCTATCGTGTTCTATGCTCCATGGAGCAAAATACATGTTGTTGTTCTTCCAAAGAATATATCCCCTGATCCTAAGTAGTGTCTGGGAATGCTGTCTGCCTCAGAAACTGTTTGCTAAATGAATGGATCGCAGAAATCCCATACCTTAATTTAGCAATGTCTGAAGATGGAGAACCTAAGAATAAACCTGTGGGAGAGGGGAACACACGCTGCAGACTATCTGTGGAAGTCAGAGAGCGGCTTCGTGGGGTCCGTTGACCTCCTTCCACTGAGATCAAAATCGGGTAGTCCGGCTTATATGGCAAGAGCTGTATCTGCTGTGCTACCTCCCCAGGCCTGGGCTCTTTTTTAACTTGCCTAAAACCAAGTAAGCTAAGGAGGACCAACCAGTGAGCAAGGTCAAGGAAGGCTGGTAACATGAAAAAGGTACGGTAGGGAGGAAGGGGAGGGAGTGCTGGCAAGACCAGGCTATGGCCTCAGGGAACATTGAAGTCTTTCCTGAACCCAAAGGGAAGGTCTGGTGAAATGGAGGTCAAAGGGCTGTTCCTGCAGACCAGAAGGGCTGAGAGATGGCTTGAGGGCAAAAGTAAAGGGAAGATAAAGCTACACGGAGACTGGGGCAACACATGTCTAGCTTTTGTTTAGTAGTGTCTACCCAAGGAGCAGACAGCAGAGCTGTCACTCAGCTCCTCGGCAGAGCACCTGTCCTCAAATACCACAAAACTGAAGACAAGCTGCAGTCTCACCAAGCAGGGAAAGAAATAGTGGGGTCTGAAATACAAAAACAGAAGAAACATCCCAAAGAGATGGCTTCCAAGGAAGACCTTTGAGCCTGCATGACTGAGAGGGCTGGGCCTTGAGGTAGAAGATGCTAGAAGTATAGCACAGGCTTTTGGGTTTTATACTAGAAATAGGTTCCACAGAGACTTCTCCACAGCTGATAACATGGCTCCCCACCTCTTACCACTCACCATCCCTCCCAGCTCTCTCCACCCTTAGGCTAGCCATTACTCATCAGCCCCAGGGTAAGAGATCAAATGAACCTCAATCCAACCAGCCAACAATGACCAAGGCTCTGAAGTCATATCCAGGTACTCACATCATCCAACTTCCTGTCTGTGCCCAAGGCCAGCAGGTTATTGAACTCTCTCTCCATCACTTGGCGGGCCTGAACCCCACAGGGTGAGAGGGAGAAAGAGGGGCTCTGGTTAATAACATTTTGCTACCCTTCTCTTTTAAAATTTACATTAATTCAGTTTTCATTCTTATACATTATTCAGTGTGTGTGTGTGTGTGTGTGTGTATACCCACATTTACACTTGCTACTGTGCACTGCCCAAGTCAGAGAACAGCTTGCAGAAGTTGTTTCTCCCTTTTCACCATGCAGGAATCAAACTCAGGTCATTAGGCTTGGTGGCAAGCACTCTAACTTGCTAAGCCACCTCACCAGTCCCATCTTTAAAAAAAGAAAAAAGAAAGGAAGGAAGGAAGGAAGGAAGGAAGGAAGGAAGGAAGGAAGGAAAGAAGGAAGGAAAAAGAAAAGAAAAAGAAAAAAGAAAAGAAAAAAACCTGGGGAGAAGAGTATGCACACCACAGTAAGTCATAGGGTCAGAGGATAACACTTAAGAATTGGTTCTCTCCTACCATGTAGATTCTGGGGACTGAACTCAGGTTATCAGGCTTGGTGGCAAGCATATTTATCCACCAAGCCATCTCAGTTTCCCCCTTTATTGTATCTTTCAACTGTTTCCTGGAGGCAGAGATAGGGCAGTATTTTAGTGTACTTCACCCACTAGAAACCTCACACACCTTCCTGAGGATGCTGCTTCTGGCAAATCACGAATAGAATCCTACTAAAAGTCAAACTGTTAGCCTTAGGATTCTTTCCTATGGGACAAATTGAGAGGGAGGGCATGTCATTTTAAAGAATACAAACAACACAGTACATGAAGAAGCAGGCTTTACTTAATGGAAAAATTTTTCATTAATTAGACTCAGGGAGTTACCAATAAGAGAAGAGAAAGAAGATATGAAGCTCGGAGGTAGGCACTTGTGAGAATTGAAGGGAGGTAACAGTAGACAAAGAGGATCAAAATAAATTGTACAAATATATGCAATTTCCTATGAGTAAATAAAAATTATCATTTTAAAAGCCTATATTTTGTCTCTAAAGGAAAGGTCATGGCTCACTACCCTTTGGTGAGGACAGGGGGAGGAGAAATAAGCATGCACATGATGGGTAAGCAAAACTTCCTAGCAGCAAATAAATGAGCTCATCTGTCGGGGTCCACATTATAAACTCAAGCTAAAAGAATTGCCAGTCATAGATAGTGGGAACCCTGAACTGTGTGACACACAAACACTATTCTAGACTCCTCAAAAATTAACTCATTAAGGAAACTACCAGAGTAGGTAGAGAGGTAGCTCCACAGTTAAGAGCACTTGCTGCTCTTGCAGAACACCAGGGTTCAGTTCCCAGCACCCACATCAGGTGGCTTACAACTGCCTGTAACACCAGCTGCAGGGAACAAGTAACCTTCTTCTGACCTCTGAAACTCCTGAATACATATGATACACCTACATACATACATGTAGGGGTACACGCACACACAAAATAAAAATAATAATAATAAATAATAAGAAAGAAAAAAGAAACAGGAAGGTTTTCAAAACTCTCTGTCACCAGATATTTTCAACCATTGTCCATGGAGGATTCCATAATGGATCAGATAAATAGGTCAAAAAAATACTGGGTGGTGGCAGTGTATACCTTTAATCCCAGCACTCCTCAAGGCAGAGGTAAGGGGATCTCTGAGGTCATCCTGAGCTACAGAACAAGTTCCAGGACATCTAGATAGAGAAACCCTGACTCAAAAAAAGAAAGGAAGGAACGAACGAACAAACAAACAAAGGAAAGCCTGTTTCTGGGGAAAATATCAACCACAGAGCTCTACCAGGAGAGTGTTTGCCAGCAGTGGGAACATTCTATCTTACAAATGATCTAAAAGGAAAACATTTCAAATATCTTCTGGGTAGTGAGAGGTTAAGTGGACAGGAATCAGCTGTAGAAACACTAATGCGGGCCCGAGCAGGCAGGAAACCTGCAAGTGAAGTTAGAGGTGGGCAAGTGTAGAGAGACTGCCTTTGGAGGACATTCAAACTTCTACTAGAAAGAAAGGTTCCACACAGTGTGTTTCGACTGGTCAGGAGGAGTCACAGCAGACAGCCTACAAACACACTGGCCTCATGCGCTGCCATTGTCCCCGCGGCCAACATGCCATCCCCAACCAAGAGACTCCAATGCCCCGCCCTCCCTCAAGCCAAAAAGTGTCTGCTCCCAGAATAGGCAGCACAGCTAGTGGCTGAATTTCCAAAGCAATCTGACAGCTGCAAACAGTTCACACAAGGGCAGCTAAAAGGATCAGGGGCAGCAGCTAGTCCACACGAGGGAAGGCTAAAAGAATTAAAACCATTCTGTCCGGAGAAACAAAGGCTTGGACCCAGAGGCAATAGAATCAGAGCCTATGAAATTCACTGTTCTTACAAAGGGAGAAAACTGGTCAAATACAAACATCCTCACCAACCTAAACCTGCAAGGAAGAGGCAGTTCTCTACCGGGGGGGGGGGGGGGGGCTGGAAGAGGCATATTTAGGACATCTAAAATCAGGAAGTACTTTATACAACTGTCAGTGCAACTAGGATACATTACCCACAGGAAGTCAGAAGGGCCAAAAATATAAATAGGGTCACAAGAACTTAGGTATATTCTTAGATAACAGTTGAAATAATAATTATGAAATGTAATTGAAGGAGATGTCTAATCTCTTGAGCTGCTGACAGGGAGACAAAGCTCCGGTATGGCGAGTCTCTGGACTATGTCTACGGTTTCTACTCTGCTGAGGCCTAGGGGCCTAGGAGTAGATCCCTAGGATGGCAGACAAAAGAGGTGCAGGTTCTCTGGTCCCTGTGGGACCCAGGGCTTGTTGTTCCCTCTGAAAAGTTGGATCAGAGAAGCAATTTAAGGAAAAGGAAAGTTCCCAAGCCTCAGCTGCGAAAGAGGCTTGAGAAGAGCTGGAGTAACCAACAGCCATGTGGAGACAAGAGAAATATCTCTGCATGTTAAAGACACCTATTCTGGAGGAACTTTGGCAATGCACACGGAGCACTCAGAGGTCTGAGGACACGGCACCCCCTTTGAGACAGAATACACACTCACACACACAGGACTGGGAGGGGTGTTGACTGAAGGGCTACCTGGGTGTTCTGTGTGGGGATTTGTAGAACTAAGGCCAGTGTGTTGTGGTCGAAGTTCTCATCCAGGGCCAGCAGGGCACCATGCACACCGCTCTCGTGTAGGTTTCCTGCGTAGTCCCTTAGCCCTATGGACTGGACCCAGTGAACCACCTGGTCATTGGTCCAGACCAGCACATCTGGAAGGCAGAGGAAAAAACGGACAAAGAGGACACACGGCTGGCTCAGGCTCTTCTAGCGCAGAAGTAGGTTTCCCCAGACGCAGAGCTTCAGTTACCCTGCTCTCTACCTCCCACCATCCCTAACTTCCCACAACTTTCTTTCCTCCATGGCATCTGGGCTCCTGCAGAGGCAGCTCCACCTCACTGCCCTTCTGCCAGCCTGGAGTCCCAGCAACGGTCATTCCGCAACCTGAGGCCAAAGAAGCCTTATTCTTTTAACTTTTAGAGTCTTGTCTAAAACCTGTCTCTTTCCCATCCAACCCTCCCGCTGCCCCCAGATCACCGACTTCTATGAACTTGTCAGCCTATGGCACCATCACAGAGGGTGCATCTGTCTAGTTGGAGGCCGCTGTCCCAGGGACTGCATCAGACAGGCTGCAGCTGGATTCGCTGCTCAGATTTGAGGCTTCCCTGAGGCTCACTGGGCCCCAGGCTCCGGGTGGAAGCAAGCAGGCCCACCAGCTTACCCTTGATCTCGTGCTGGCTCTCCTCCCTCCTCTTCTCCAGCTCCTTCCGGTCATAGTTCAGCCTCTTCAGACACATGATGCCATACTGAAGACTGGCTCTGCAGGTACACAGCACCCGAGCCAGGGCTTTGGTGTGACGATGTTCCTGCCCACATGACCCCAGTTCTGTACCAGCCACAGTAGGTACAGTGCACTCAGACCCACTGCATCCAGCAGAAAGGACACCCTAGCGCCCCCATGCCCCTGCTGCCAGGGCTTGCACTGAGGGTCGGAGGTCACTTCCACCCACTGCTGCTTACAGTCCCCACTTCAGGCAGCCTGACTGTCACCCTGGTTAGACTGTGACACCTAGCAGATTAGTCAGACGCATCTCTGGATTGTCTTCAGGGGCATTTCTAGAGTTGGCGAGACCCATCCTGAATATGGGTGGCTCCATCCCACAGCGTGGGGACCAGATGGAATGAAAGGGGAGAAGGAGACAGCCTAAGGGCCGGGACATTCTCTCTGCTTCCCCCTTCACAATGGGCTCAAGCAAGGAGCAAAAGCAAGTCCGTCCTCTCCTAAGTTGTGCCAGGTAGTCTGTTACAGCAAAAAGAAACTAACAAAGGGCCTGACTGGCGGGAGGGCTTTGGATGAAACTGGCATGCCTCTTCTTTGCAGGTGCTGGAACGATAAAGACCACTCAAGAGTGAAAGAAAAGGGAAATCCAAGATACTCCTTCATATTTCAGTCCTTTCAGAGGCCTATAAGATGCCAATGGAACCTGCTCAACTTGTTCTTTCTGCTTCAGCCAAGCTGAAACCCATGTCCCTCAAACACAGAAGGCTTCGGAGGCCTGGGTGCCTCAGGGCCTTTGCACTGGTTGCTATGTCTGCCCAGAATATCCCACCCTCAGTTTTCTAAACAGTTCACTTTCTCTTTACCTGTATGTCTTTGTTCAAACATCTGCTCAGTCCAGCTCACCTAAAGTAGACTCACACAACTCCATCCCCGCCCCATACTTCCACATTAACTTGTTCTAATTTTCTCCCCCAGCTCCTTAACTATCTTGTCCTGCAAAGTCACAATGTACACTTCATGAGGATGGACAACTGTTTAATTCACTGGTCATAGATCTCTAGTACCTCACAGGTGCTCTATTCATGCTTAATGATGAAATGAAACAATTTACATAACCTACTAACTATACTAAAACAGTAGGCCATAATAAGCAGTGAATAAGCAATAAGTCAGGCAGAGAACCTTGGGTTAGAAAGAACCCCATGGCAACTTAAGTCCAAGCTACTCAGAATCTAGGACAGTGGTGGCTGAGCAACACCAAACTGCTGGGCAGCTCCTTTACACTGGGACAAATTTTGTAAGGGTCCAAGCTTGAGGACCCTTTGTCCTTTCACCTTCTGAGGTTTTCCCTTACACAGAGGGACAGAACAAAAGAACCCTCCCAACTCCAACCACTCAGAGAGTAAATTATACAGACTTCTCCCAAAGCTCTTCTGCCTGGAATACTCAGTGCAGAGACACATTTCTAGGCTGCCTGTATTTATCACTCGAGATGCTGCTTTAAGCTTTGGATGACTGTAAAGAGGCACAAGCACATACAGCCCATGACGGGAAATGCCCCTGACATTAGTCTCATTGTAATCTTTTACATAGCTCCTGAGACTTTCAAAGCTGTTGTATAGCATGACAAAACTTGCCCTTAAAGTTAGGTCAAGACAGGTTTGAATGTCACATTCTACCAGAGGGCACCAGGCATCTGTAAGACAGAGCCTCTCTTTCAGGGTTGTAGTGAGGATTAAGAGTGACAATGAATGGAAGGCCCCCGGTACATCTCAGGGACTCAGAAATAGGTCCACTGTTAGGAGGGTAGGTATGATTAATGTATGTGTGGGATGGGGGTCTACCCAAACAGCAGAACCCCACTCAACAGAATACCCCAGTCCAAGAAGCACTTGGTGAGATGTCGAGAGATGAGGTGTCAGCCCCGTTTGGCTAATATGAGCGAGCAGAAGCAACCTCTCCTGGATTTTGTTACCTCTGTTGGTAAGTAAAGTGTAAATGTTCCTTTCTTGTCACAGAAATAATAACTTATATGGGTGTCTCCAAAAGTGCCTTCGTGGTGTAAGCCTGCAATTCAAGCTATTCAGGAGGCTGAGGCAAGGGGATCCCAACTTCAAGGGGTATTACAGAATGAATTCAGGACCAGACAACTAGAGAGACCCTGCCTCAAAAAATAAAAATCAGATAAAAATGGCAGAGAGGCCAGGTTCAGTAGCACATGCCTATAATCTCCACACTTGGAAGTAGAGGCAGGGGAATCAGAAGCTCAAGGTCATCTTTGGCTACATAGAAAGTTTAAGGACATCCTGTGCTACTTAAGTGCTTGTTTCAAAAAAGGGAGGGGTGGCTGGGGGTGTAGCTCAGCACTGGCATGCCCGATGTCTGTTTAGAGACCCTACACTCAAACCCAAGTGTTGCAACAAACGAAAAAATTCCAAGCCAGGCAGTGATGATGCACCTTTAGTACCAGCTCTCAGGAGGCAGAGGCAAAAGGATCTCTAACTTTGAGGCCAGCTTGGTCTACAGAGAAACCCTGACTCAAAAAACAAAAACAAAACAAAAACAAAAAAGAAAGAAAGGAAGAAAGGAAGGAGGGAGGGAGGGAGGGAGGGAGGGAGGGAGGAAGGAAGGAAGGAAGGAAGGAAGGAAGGAAGGAAGGAAGGAAGG